AAGTTTATTTATTTTGAGAGAGAGCGAGTGGGAGAGGGGTGGGGGAGAGCAAACAGAATCCCCAGTGGTCTCCAAACTGTACTACAGAGCCGGACATGGGGCTTGGACCCACAAACCGTGAGATCATGACCTGAGATGAAACAAAGAGTTGGATGCTTAACTGACTGAGCCACCCAGGCACCCGGCACCCCACTGATTTTAAAGGTGGCCTGGGATGGCTCTGTGTGGGTGGACAGTCGTGAATCTAACGTGCCCCTGTTAATGGGTGTGGTGGTAATCCCAAGCTTTTGCTATCTTAGACAATGATTCAATATCAATACACTTTTGTGCACATGTTTGGGGGTAAATTTCTAGAATTGGTGGTTTAGTGCATCTCACATTTTGATGGACATTTTCCACTTTCCCTTCCCACCCACCGGCTAAGAGAATGCCTGCTTCTTGTACCTCGCACGACAGCCAATATTGCACTTTTTAATCTTTGAAAACCCTCCTAGACTTTCAATCTCCCAGCAGCTTGGACAAAAATGAAGAACAATTTACATTTATGCGATTCTTTCCATGTTGCCGGCTGTTTTCTTATTGATCTCCTTTGATTCTCAAAAACCCTTAGGAGGCAGGAATCATGATGCTCCTTAAAAGAATCTGAGGAATCATCATCCCCCCCCCCCGCCCCCCTAGAAGAGGAAAGAGAGAAGTTACATGATTTTCTCAGTAGGAGCATTTCGACAGAACTAGAAGCCGCATATCCGTAGCTCTGCTCCTCAAGGTGAGGCCCAGCCTCTGCCCTGCCCCCACGCCCCCCCCCCCCCCACTCAGAGGCCGAACTGGGGAGGACACAGCCTGTACCGTGCTCCCCCGTGAGGGCATCTGACCTGAACTCCGTTCAGAGGGGAGCGGAGGGGGGTGACTTACTCTCCCCAGGGAGGCGACAGATGGTGGGAAGGAAGGCTTGGGAGGCGGAGCCCGAGGCCTGGGGGAGCAGCTGTAGGACAGCTCGGTCAGATGGCTAATGTGGCGGGGCCCGGGGCCCAGGGAGGGCTCTGTGGCTGTTGTCTGAGCTGATCTGGGGAGATGCGTTTTGGCCCAGTCAGCAGCCCTTTCTCTCTGACCGTGATCTGCGATTCCAGGCTGCTCCCCGCATGCCCCCAGCCCTCCTGTCTGCTAGGCACGCCTATGAAGGATGTATCAGCGTGGGGAGCACCGGGGGCCGACAGGTCTGGGTCCCGGCGCCCACGGAGCAGCTGGGTGCTGCCCTACGACTCTGCTGGAGTGTGGACCTCCAGCAGTCCGGCCCTTCCCATCTGTCACAGCCAGCCCGGGGCCCTGACACCCTCCCCTCCCCCCTCCCCCCCGCCTGAGATGCCCGGAGGTGCTGCTGGGCCCTGTGCTCAACTGGGAATTTCTACATATGTCCTTTTAAAAGACGGCTGTTGATCGTAGCTCACCCGGAATCCGTGCCGGGATTGCGTCCGCCCCCCTGCTACGGCCTCGCTTCGAAACTCTGCACCAGCGATGTCCAGTAGGTGGCCACCAGACATGTGGCCCGCTGAGGTGTGCCGTGAGCGTACAATGCACGCGGGATTCTCAAGACTCAAAGAAGGAAGGATGGAAAACTGCTCCCTAGTTTTTTTTATAGCGATTACCTGTCGATAACATTCGGGATACGCTGGGCTACGTAAAGTATATTATTGGACTTCATTGTGGCTATTTCTTTTGACTGACAAACGCGGCTGCTGGAGAGTCTAAAGCAGGTGGCAGATAGGGCTGGCATTCTGTTTCTAAAGGACACCTGTGCCTTTCCCCCACCGTCTTTGTAGCTGGGAAGGAGGTAGGGTATGAAGGAAGGGAGGGAGAAAGAAAACAAGGAGGGAGAAAGGAAAAGAGGGAAGGAGCGAGAAAAGGCATTGTCATCCAGGGTGGCCGTAGGGGGAAGGATGTGCGCTGGTGGCAGATCTCAGTGCCACTGGGTGGTTGGGCCACCTTGGCCAAGTCACCCAAACTTCTGTGATTTCCCCATCGGTAAAATAGAGGTGCTTTTCCCCTGACAGGAGTATTTCTTAATGTTTATTTATTTATTTTTGAGAGAAAGAGAGAGAGAGAGAGCACAAGCGGGGGAGAGGCAGAGAGAGAGGGAGACACAGAAGCAGGCTCCAGGCTCCGAGCCGTCCGCACAGAGCCCGACGCGGGGCTCGAACTCACAAATCACGAGTTCATCACCACCTGCTCAGTGACTGACGTACGTTTGCCTCAGCAGCACCGGAGCCCCGGGGTGGGAGCTCAAGAATTTTTACCCACGAGCGTAGGAACGTTTGAGGGGAGGGCAGCTGGTCGCCCGCCCAGCACAATCCGTTTCAGAGCGTCTCTGTCGCTCACCCCGGGGACTGAATGGAACCACGGTGGAGAGTCACCTTCTCTCTTCTGGCTCTTTCCTGCCAGGTTGCAGCCCCTTCACATGTATTCGGTGTGCTTGCTGGCTGGATTGTTCTCTCTTGTTCCCTGGGGGCCCGTCTGGGAAGTGCCCAAGTTCCACGTGGATAACTGCCGGCGAGCGTGGTGGACGAATCTGCTGTTGCTAAATAATTTCCTGTGGGTCCAAAACGCGGTGAGTCCTGCGTCATGGGCTGGGAACAGGCAGATGGGCACGAGCCCACGCGGGTGTCACTTCACACGGTTTGCGCACTTTCCAAGGGCCGGCCTGGGTCTGATGCCCTTTCTTCTGGCACTTTCTCTGGAGTAACAGTGAAGCCATAGGAAGGGGGTGGCTGGGGGCAGGGAGACTAGCCTCTCGGGATGGGTGAGTGTTACCAAACCAGCCTTGGCAGGGGCAGTTGCTGTGAAAAGCAGAGGGAGGGAGCAGGGTGGTGGGCACTGAGGGGCCAACCGTGCAGGTGCGTGTCCGGAGGCGGCCAACCTTGCTCCGTCAAGGTTCCATGTCACACCCCACAGAGAAAGGACACTTGCCTTTACCTCCACGCAGACGGCCTGTAACTGGGATGGAACATTGCACCATTGCACCTCACCTGCGCCATAATGAGTCGTTTTTTCTGTTTCAAGCCAGATCAGACAGAGCCACAACATCTGTCTATACTGGCTGGGGCTTCCCCCCGAAGCCCTCGGATCCTCACGATGACATCCGAGTCAACGAAAGTGAAATAGGGGTAATTGAATCGTGTGGGCCAGGTGCGGACCGGCCTGGGCCCCACGTGGGAATCAGTGGCGAGGACATGAGCCAGCCACCTGTTTGAGGCAAAGCCCACCTTGGTCCTTGAAAGTGGACGTGTGAGGGCCGTCTGGCCTGGAGGTCTCACGGATCCCCCACCTTGGGCACTTCCCTTTAGCTGGGACAAGGAAAGCTGTCGCTTGTGCTGGATAAGTCTGGGCTCTCGAGGACCGGATTGGGGACTGGAGGGAGCAAGGAGGCTTTTACCTCCGGAGCCCTAGAGGGAGCGGCCCCCAGGAACTTCGTCACGTTGAAGAAGAATGAGGCAGGTAACTGGCTCATTTCACACCAACCCGGACAGCCTGCGGAAAGATGTGGCTTTGGCCAGACGACCGCACGTCCGTCACGCGTGGGAACTCTGGGCTCTGCGGCACAAGCTCGTCTGGAGCCAGGCTTCCAATCTAGATGAGCACATTCCTTCCCCGGGGCTGGGGAGGGCCGGCAAGGCAGGGAAGAGAGGACAACAGAGACCCTTACCGGCTCTGAGGGCACCAAAACGATAATTGTCCCTTAACATTCGTGTAACGGGGTGGAGTTGAGTTCCTCCAACTGCCCTGGGAGCTTAGCTTTTACTGCTTTTTTTCAAGAGAGAAAGCTCTGCATTTCCCTTTTGTAACCTGGCAATAACAATACTCACCACCTAGGCTCCTTACAGGATTAAGTGAGATGAGGTACGTGAAATCCTGTGGCCCCAAATTCCTTTCTCTTCCCTTGGACCGCGGGCCCCCACCCCCCCCCACCTCCCCAGCCTCCAGCTCCAGGAAGGTGAGCGAGTGGCCCCGGTGAGTGACCTCTGCTCCTCTTGTTTCAGTGTAATGGCTGGACGTGGTACCTGGCCAACGATTTTCAGTGCCATCTCATCACGCCGGCGATCGTCCTCATCCACAGAAAGTGAGTGTCCCCGGGACCGGCGGGTCTGGCCACGGGACCTCTCCCACGGCACTCCCAGCAAGCGCTCCAGCTCTGGGCAGAGCAGCCTTTGCGATTTAGGAAACGAACTTTTCAGAGCAGTGTGGACACCGAATCCTTTTCTGTTTATCTTTCTCCACGTTCTCCTCCAAGCTTCGTCCTGCACACACCCCTCTGTGTTTTTGCAGGGTCGTAATCAGGGCGTGTGTAATCTCCAGTCTCAGTCTCTTCCATTCACCTGTCTTTGTAAACATTTCCGCGTAGCGACACGATCCACATACTCCGCGGTTTTAGGATTTCTATGCCATTGTTATGGTCGGGCATCTACATTATTTCCAGTGGTTCATGACTCCAGATGGCACCTCAGTGACTGTCTTTGAACGTACTACTTTTTCCTCCTGTTCATTTCCTTGGGGACCCATTTCCAAGTGGAATGACTAGGGCAAAGCGCAGGAACGATTTCTTGCTGCTTGTTGCATGTTGTGCGGTTGTTCTCCAGAAAGAGGGAAGTAATTACCGCGCCCCCAGCGATACATCAGTGTACCTGTTCCCCTCATCAGATATTTATTACCGTAATTTTTGTTAGTTCTAGAAAAGCTCTCAGGCCTCAATAATTCACGAGGACACTTATAGCTTGTGGAATATCCATGCCATATCTTAAAAGATTTTTCCCTTTTTTTGTTATTAACATACACGTTCAGTTTAAGAGGTATGGGAAGATAGTAGGATGAATAGAGGGGAAAACCATCACCCTAGACCCATTCCTCACTCAAGAAGAGGTGAATTCCCTGTCAATATTTCTGTGTTTATCTTTCTGATCTTTTTCCACACCACTTTTTATTTTTTTTTTATTTTTCTTTTTTAATTTTTTTTTCAACGTTTATTTATTTTTGGGACAGAGAGGGACAGAGCATGAATGGGGGAGGGGCAGAGAGAGAGGGAGACACAGCATCGGAAACAGGCTCCAGGCTCTGAGCCATCAGCCCAGAGCCCGACGCGGGGCTCGAACTCCCGGACCGCGAGATCGTGACCTGGCTGAAGTCGGACGCTTAACCGACTGCGCCACCCAGGCACCCCTCTGCCTCCTTGATTTATACTCACACCTCCCAGGATGAAATCGCTGAGAACAGTGGGGATTAGGAATTAGTGTGCCCTCCCACTCTCACCTCAGTGTGGATCAGACAAGGAAGGTTGAGAGTAGGTCAAGGTGGCTTTGGGATGCTGACCTCCCTTCCTCTCCCCTTCCCTCCCCAAGCCCCTTAGAGAGGGTGGGGATTCCTGGGACACTCCTGGATCGCTGATCCCTGCTGCTGCTGGAGAGGGGCTCCCCGAGCAGGAGGCTAGACCTGTTCAGGCCCCCAGGGCCTCCACGGGGGTGGACTCTCCCTCCCACAAGGCAGTCAAACCCTCAGAGCTCCAGGGGCAGGGGAGCACCTGGCCCAATTCTCTGGGGCTGTCGCAGGCCTCGGCTCTGTGACGGACTATGGCTGCTCCAAGAGCTCTGGAGACCTTGGCAAGCGCCTGCGGGGAACAGGTGGGGCAGGTGTGAGGCCTCTGCAGGCCCGGCAGCCCTGGCAGAGGAGAAAGGGCGAGCCTCCACAGGTCTCCTCGGAGGTGGCATTTGCAGCAGGATGTGCTCATTTCTGGTACAGGTATTTGTGAAGAAACGGCGAGAAAAATCCTGTGGGGCATCCTGGCCAGGGTGCTGGGGGCTGACAGGCTTTCAAAGAATACCAGGGTCTTTTCAGACCATTCCTTCCTCCTCTTGGGCTATATGGCCCCTGAACAGGCCCTTCTGAGGCACCAACCCTCTTGAGAGAATGGGGATAGTGTGTGGCACTTGAAGCTCTGGGCTTTTCTCAATCCCACGGTCGTAGGAGGAGTCCCCTCGAACAGGCAGAAAATACAACCACTGACCCGAGCTGGCAGAGGGGACCCTTTGGCACAGGGTTGGTTTCTTCTGGGGCGTCTCGCTGTGTCTTCATGTGGTCGTCTTCACACGGTCTTTGCTCTGTGGTTGTCGGTCTTCTCATCTCTTCTCATGAAGGTACCAGTCACATTGGATTAGGGCCCATCCCAATGACCTCATTTCACCTTCATTATCTCTTTAGAGACCCTATCTCCAAATAGAGCCACATTCTGAAGTGATGGAAGTTAGAATTTTGGGGGGGGGGAGGGAGGGACAAAATCCAGCCCATAACAGTCTAGATTAGGAGGCTTTATTAGTTTTATTATAGAGGCAGTTAGCCCGTGGAGACTTGTCTGACTCCTGGGAGGAGGTGCCATGGGTTGGGCTCAAGTCTCCCAGGGAGTTAAACAAATATTGACTTGGGTACATGCAGGTTTTTATTGGATGGCCTTACTGGATGGTTAACCATTGACCTAAGACAATGAATTCTTAGTACCTCCTCACTCTAGACCTACTAGAGTAGGTAGTAGGTGGGGACCTACTTGAGTGTCCTTGTGAGTTAAGACCCCTGAGTCCCCAATGTCAGCATCTTTCCTAGAGGCTGTCATGGAAGGTAGATTTTCAATTCCTCAGCTAAAACCAGCACTATACAAGCTTGTGGCCGTGCAACTACGTTTAGCTTCTAAATGGTGGGAGGTATATAAAAGGTAGAGCTGTTTTCCTTTAGAGAACACACTTGTATAGAATGCCAGTAATCCAAGGAGGGCAGAACTAAATGGTCTGGCAAAAGGAACAGTAAATAGACAGCATTGTTTTCATACCTTCCCAGCCCACTCTCACAGCAGACATTACCAATCAATCACAGCACCACCGAGCTAACACTCCTCCATTCCGAGCATTAACACTAAACTAGAATTGGCACTCTGGATGAAAATCATTTGCCGTTTGCCTCACTCATGATAAACGAATGGTCCCTTATCCCCTCCTCATGAAGAACCGTGGCAACTTCACGCAGTGGAATGGGATTGTCAAAGGCACCATCTGGGCAGGGTTATGCCTGGATAGTCTTGTCTTACGCCTGTGTTTGACACTCCTTCTATACTACTGCACATCGTCTTTGTCCCGACCCTCACGATTCTGAGGAGGTGCAACCAGTGCCTTACTCTAACTCTAAAGCCTATGTCCCTAAATCTCATTTCCTGCCCCAGAACCTCCTACATACTACAGCTGGGCCTCCTTCGGGACCCTTCTTGGCCTTACACACGTGTAGTCCCAAACTGTGGAGGAATTAACTTTCGTGGAGCCACCCTTGGCTCATGGGGGATAAAAGACACTGGGAAAACGCCTCTTTCTTTCATCTTCCACGACAGTTTTCAGGCGCATCTTCCACAGAACATTCTGGAAGAATTGAGTACTGGCCACCTTGACAGCACATCCTTGTGTTAGTTTTCCCTGCTTCCCTGTTCTACATGCCATCCCTCATTCCTACCCCCACATCGACTCCCTGCACCCAGATGTTTGTCTCAGATTGCATCTGGGTGGGGGGAGAATCCCTGGACCGCCTCTTACCCTAACCCCGTCCCTGCGTCCCCCTGCGCCTGACAGTCCTTTCTCTCCCGAGTCAACCACCATGTATGTCCGCGTAATGCTTCGTGGGTGGCAAGGAACATTCCCAAGCATGGTCACATCTTGAGCCGCACAGTACATTTCAGGGTGAAGATGAGGAAAATCAAGTTCAAGGTCCTGCCGAGGGTCGCACAGCCAGTAAATGGTCACATTTAAAGGCTAAGCCCGTTCTCTTAACTCACAGCTGCCCCCACATCAGCCTCTCTCAAAGGCAGGCCTGGCAGGAAGTGCCTCTGATTTGCCAAGCTTTCAAGTCTTTCGTGGCCACAAATTTTGCAGCGAAGGAAACTGAAGAGTGCTTCTGTCAATGTCCTCTCTTTGCAGAAGTAAACATGTCCTTGTCCTCCTCGGGGCCATGCTGTTCTTGGCATCTTTCACTGCCACAGCTCTGCTCACCCTGGCTTACTCCCTTCCGGTCGCAGCTCCGTCAGAAGCAAGGTAACCCACGGTTCCCAGCCGGGCCCTCTTGCTTGCCTGCCCTCGGAATGGCCAGGACCTCCCAGGGAGGCTGCTCAGCGAGTGCCAGGCTGTTTGCGCTGTGTGCGGTGGCTCGTGGAAAAACTGGGTGGGAAATGTTCAGCCTGGATGGGAAAGTTGATTGCGTTTTTGTTTCCAAACTTCTGACCCTTTCAACTTGCGCTGGGGGGTCTTCTCTGAAAGTACCGGGAACGCGTGGGCTGCCCGTTGAAATGTTTCTCGGAGGAAAGGAGCGCCCCCACGCGGCTGTATTGGGTTTCTCCTCCCGCCGCCGACCTGCAGCTCCGAAGCTCAATTATTGGCTGGAGAGACTGAAATTTACGGAAGTGGGGGTTATCCCTTCAAGGTCACACGGCTAGTAAGCGGCATAGGTGTGAGTGGAACCGAGGACCTTACCCGCTATGCTATTTTGCTTCCCCAGTGAGGTTTATATCACGATTTTTCCTTATCACCACCCTGTGCTTCACGCGGGAAACGGCGGCACGATTTCCTGCTGATCTGTTCTCAATGCAGCAGGCAGAGTGATACAAATGGGAGTCAGATGCTGTCGGTCATCTGCTCAAATTCCTCCAAAGGCTGCCCACTGCTCTCACGGTAGAAGCCCTGTCTGACCTCCTCCATCACTCCCCTATGTGCTGACTCTGGACCAGCCACACCAGCCTTCTAGCCTTCACACACCAAGCACGCTCTCTCCTCAGGCCTTTGCACTCACTGTTCCCTCACGCTAGGATGCTTTTCCTTTGAAGTCCGGATCTTGGCAGGGCTCGCTTTTTCATTTCCTGCAGGTGTCAGTGCAAGTGTCATTTTCTCAGAGCAGCCTTCGCGGACCTCCCGATGCAAAATAGCGCGGCACCGCGACTCGCACACATTGTGCTCCACATGTATTTGCGAGGGGAATGAATGAATGAATGAATGAAGACACCCCAGGTTTTTCACTATGCCCTTCCTGTCATATCATTGGCCCCTGCGGGCCCTGCCAGGTGACTGAGGGAGAGAGGCTCATTCCCATCCAATCCCATCTAATCTAATAGAGTAGGTCCTCAACTCTAGAAGCACATGAGAATCACCTGGGGAGACCTTAAATCCCACTGATGCTTCCAGCAAGCATCATCTCAGACCACAATCTCCGGGGATGTGGCCCAAGCAACCACGAAGACGTTCCACGAAGACGTTCACTTCTGAAAACCACATTTTTTAGAGCTATCGTGATGTGCCAGCTCCTTAAAATGGACTCGGTCATCGTATTTCCTTGGGGTCCAGGGTGGAGGGGCCCAGGGGCGTTTGCAACTTGAGCAGGCCAGCTGTGGCACAAGGCAGGACCCTGAGGGTACCGCCTGTAGATCCGACTGTGGAAATGAACAAAAGCACCCCAAATTTTCCTTTGGATTTGCCGATTGTGCCGATGGACATCTGAGACATTCCTCTCTTCGTGTCTAGATCAAACATGACCTTTTGCCTCATGTTCTTTTGTTTTTCAGTGAAAACGTGACTGTGTTGTACTTCTCCGAGTACTACACGAAGCCCTACTGCAGATTCGGACCATTCCTCGTGGGGCTCTTTCTGAGCATTTTCATGCACCAAAACCACCAGGCAAACATCCTTAAAACCAAGGTAAGTTTGTCCCATACTTCACTGTAAGGGCCGCGTCTGTTTGGGACGGGAGTGGCCCGTTCGGCCAGCCTCTTCCAAAGCCATGGGCAGGAACCAGACTGCTCAGTACTTTATTGTGTTGTGTTGCGTTAGCAATGTCTCTTGGTGCCAGAGAATAAGAGAGACCTTATCTTCTCGCGAAAGCCTGGTTCTCTGCTTGCTTCACGGAGCTCCTTTAAGAAAGCTCCAGAATTGGAACCCAGCGGTGTTCTACCCGTTGGAGCCTTGGTTACAGACCCAGAGAAATCCCTGACACGGGAAAAACGTACCCAATGAGATTGCAATGGCAAGGCCCTCTTCTGAAAGAACATAGTTACTTGTTTGTGTGTTTTCATAATTAATTTTTTAAATTGTATTTATTTATTTTGAGAGAGAGTTGAGGAGGGGCAAAGAGAGAGGGAGAAAGAGAATCCCAAGTAGCCTCCAGAGCCCGATGTGGGGTTCAATTCCACAAACCATGAGATCATGACCTGAGTTGAAATCAAGAGTTGGACGCTCAACTGACTGAGCCACCCAGGCTCCCATAGTTACTTGTCTTGTAACTTTTTAAAAATGCTTATTTATTTATTGAGAGGGAGAAGGCGAGAGAGAGCATGGGCAGTATGGGAGGGCAGAGACAGAGGGAAAGAGAGGGAATCCCAAGCAGGCTCTGCGCTGTCAGCACAGGGCCCAACGCGGGGCTCCAATCCACGAACCGTGAGATCGTGACCTGAGCGGCAATCGAGAGTCCGACGCTTAACCAACTGAACCACACAGGTGCCCCTGCCCCATAGTTACTTTTTAATAGCACGAGCTCCTTGGTTTCTACAGATAGGATTCTTGGTCAGATTCATTGGTTCCATCTGAGAATCAGGACATGCGGTATCTAAGGGGGAAGAAGCTGTTACTTTACCTTGCAGGTAAAATTCCTTCCCCTGGCTCCTTTGCGGGTAATCACTCTGATTCACCAACCAAACTCGAGATTCAAACTGGAAAGCCGGGTTCGTCTTCCTCATTGACCACTCCTCCCATGCAATCTTCCACCAGTCCCTGCTGAAGCGCCTCTTTAATGGCACTCTGTTGTAATCTACAAGTGAATCGTGCATCTACAGGGGAATATCATAACTCGAGCCTATAGGAAAAGTCACGTAGCCCTTGTATATCCACTCTTTCTGGTGAAGCCCTATGCTTCCAGTGAATCCCTGCTGATCGTTTCTTCTGCTGTCCTCTCTTAGCTTGTCCAGCTGACTTTGGTGAAGCTCTTCTCATCTCTTGATCTCAAATCTACACTTGGGGCAATCTATTTAAAACACTAGCTGGTGTTGCCCTTCAACTGCACAAAAGTTCCTCTGGCGGCAGAGGTGAAATCTAAGATGCGGGGAGAACATTTGTTTATTTTATTTTATTTTTTAATGCTTATTTATTATTGAGAGACAGAGCATGAGCATGGGAGGGGCAGAGACAGGAGGAGACACAGAATCCAAAGCAGACTCCAGGCTCTGAGTTGTCAGCTCAGAGCCTGACGCGGGGCTCGAACTCACAAACTGTGAGATCTTGAGCTGAGCCAAAGCAGGATGCCCAACCGACTGAGCCACCCAGGCACCCCTCATTTTATTTTATTTTAGAGAGAGAGTGAGAGTGAGCAAGCAGGGGAGAGGGGCAGCAGGAGAGAGAGAGAGAGAGAGAGAGAGAGAGAGAGAGAGAGAATCTCAAGCAGGCTCCACACTCATCACAGAACCTAATGTAGGACTTGATCCCATGACCCTGGGATCATGACCTGATCTGAAACCAAGAGGCAGACACTTAACTGACTGAGCCACCCAGGTGCCTCAAGGACCGAGTATTTGTGAACCACTCTGAGGGCTGAGTCAGGACCAGGAAGCCTAGAGCCAGAACACAAGTCAAGCTGAGCTGGAGAAACAAGGTGGAAGGGACGGGCAGACCAAACACAAACCTCTAGAAGCCAGAAAATAAGGACACAGTGTCCAAGCTGGAAGCAACAGGGGGCATATGTTATATGCTGGGAATGAGATGGGGCGGTGTGCATTATGAGTGAAAAGGTGAAGGGGATCCTAGCCTAAAAAGGGGGGCTTGTGGAGAGCCCCCGAGGAAATGCCTTTCCTTCCATGTAGCCAGAGCCTACCGCAGGAATCTGAGGCCCAGGCGGGGAGAGCTTCCCTTTAGAGACAAGATGGTAGACTGATAAGATGCTAGTTTGGTTCAATGGAGACGTTATCATGGCAACCTGGGAACTGAAGCTTAGAAGCAAGAGAGACTCTTGGAAGACAGATTTGGGTCTAAAAAGGTTGAGTTAGATGACCTAAAATCTAAGATCTTGAACTGAGCCCCACAATAGAACTTAACCCATGGTGCTATTTTCTGAGCTAGAAAGTTCTCCATTCTCCCACTCCCTCTGCCATTTTATGACCCCAGTGACTAGGGTACAGCCCATGTATGGATTGGGTGCCGGAGGCCCTTGAGTTGTTGGTGGGAACGGAACCAATCAAGGAGCCTTACTAGGTTAAGGAACAGAATGGGAGGTCAAGAGCGGGCTCCAACATTATCTTCTCTTTCTCCCTCCCCCCCCACCCCCCCTTGAACTTTCATTTAATAATTATTTGGGATTCACGGCCATTTTGTGCAATTTTATCACGCGGGGATCTGTGTGACCGCCACCACAAGCAAGGTGCAGAACTTTGCTGTCGCCACCAAGATCTCTCCATGGTCACACACCTCACTCCCCCTCACTGCACCCCAAACGTAACCCATCGTAACCAGTAATCGGAACCTTTTGCGTTAGCGACATTTTGGGCGCCGATCGGGCTTTACAAATAGATACTGAATGTGACCAGAAAGTAAACTCGTGTCAAAGGAAGTAAATGGACAATGGCCACAACGAGCTGGACCCGTGTCTCTCCTTTCCCTGTAGACGCAGGCCCTGCTCGGGTGGACTTGCTCCCTGGCCGCCCTGTTCGCAGTGGTTGCTCTGGCGTATGCAGTGGATGATACTTCTGTCACCTCTTCACCTGCCGTTGCCCTGTACCAGGCCCTCCACCGGACCCTGTGGGCGGCAGCCGTGGGCTGGGTCCTGTTGGCATGTCAGGAAGGCTATGGAGGTACAACGCAGCACGGGGGGTTGCTTACAGGTTCACACTGGGTCCTTTTATTTATTTATTTATTTTTTTATTTATATATGAAATTTATTGTCAAATTGGTTTCCATACAACACCCAGTGCTCATCCCAAAAGGTGCCCTCCTCAATACCCATCACCCACCCTCCCCTCCCTCCCACCCCCCATCAACCCTCAGTTTGCTCTCAGTTCTCAACAGTCTCTTATGCTTTGACTCTCTCCCACTCTAACCTCTTTTTTTTTTTTTCCCTTCCCCTCCCCCATGGGTTCCTGTTAAGTTTCTCAGGATCCACATAAGAGTGAAACCATATGGTATCTGTCTTTCTCTGTATGGCTTATTTCACTTAGCATCCCACTCTCCAGTTCCATCCACGTTGCTACAAAAGGCCATATTTCATTTTTTCTCATTGCCACGTAGTATTCCATAGTGTATATAAACCACAATTTCTTTATCCATTCATCAGTTGATGGACATTTAGGCTCTTTCCATAATTTGGCTATTGTTGAGAGTGCTGCTATGAACATTGGGGTACAAGTGCCCCTATGCATCAGTACTCCTGTGTCCCTTGGATAAATTCCTAGCAGTGCTATTGCTGGGTCATAGGGTAGGTCTATTTTTAATTTTCTGAGGAACCTCCACACTGCTTTCCAGAG